CGTAGATGGGCGTGAACCCCTCGCCGTCTCGCGCGTCCTTGACAGCTCCGGCATCGCACAGCACGTCCACCAGCACCGAGTGCCCGGTGACGCACGCCGTGTGCAGCGGCGTCACCCCGTCCTCCGCCACTGCGCGGGCGTCGGCGCCGGCAGACACCAGCGCCTGCACCGCCTCCGCCTGGCCGCGCATGCACGCGTCCGTCAGGGCGGCGTCCAGCCGCAGGCGCAGCTGGCCGTCCTCGCCCGCCTGCCCCGCGCGCCGCCGCTGCGCCTGCGCCGAGGCCGCGGAGGGCGCGGCCGCCGGCGCCCCCTCGCGGAGCGCCAGCCGCTCCTCCGCACGGCGCAGGTCGACCTCCAGGCGCCGCGCGTCGCGGTCCTGCCGCTCCGACACCGCTCTCAGCCGCTTCGCCTCCGCCTCGCTGGGGGCCAGGCGGCGCAGCTCCTCGAGGAGGCGCAGCCTCTCCGCCGCGGCCGCGGACAGCTCCCCGTGGCGCTGCCGCCCGAGCTCGAGCTGCCGCCGCAGGCCGTCCAGCTCCGCGAAGAGCGGCCGCGTTTCGGAGCTGGCGCCCCTCTCGATCAGCGCCAGCGCGCGCACCAGGTCGCCCGGCGGGGCCGCGGCGGCGGAGGCGCCCTGAGGGCTGGCCTGAGGCGAACCGACGGGCGTGGCGCTGCCGGGCGGCCTCTGCGGATCGTCCCCGTCCGCGCAGGCGCGCGCCAGCGCGGCCACCGCGGCCGTGGCAGCCTGGAGGTCTCCGGCCTGGCGGTCGGCAACGGCCTTGAGCCGGGCCAACATCGCACTGCTGCCGAGTATTTCGTCCTCCTTTTCCGCCACCTCGACCCGCAGCTGCCGCTCGGCCTCCGCCGCGCAGCGCAGCTCTTCCGATCTCCGGCTCAGCAGCTCCTTCGCATCCAGCAGCGCCGCGCGGTCGCCGCGGAACTGCTCCAGCGACGCGCGCATCTGGACCAGCTCGGCGCCTGCAGCCTCGAGCTGCGACTGCAGCCGCACGCGCTCGTCGTTGCGCGCGTCGAGCTGCCGCTCGCGCTGGAGCCCGGCCAGCTGCTCGGCGGCCCGGGCGAGCTCGGCCGTGCGCCTGTGCAGCTCGGCCCGGAGCACGTGCGCCTCGGCGCGCAGGTCGCCCACGGCGGGGCTGGCGGAGCCGGCGCCCCCGCCCTCGAGGAACCTGCGGGCGTCGGCGAGGTCGCTCGGGGAGACGAGGGCGAGCTGGCCCCCGTCGGCGCCGCCGGGCGCGGCCCTGGCGCGCACCAGCTCGTCCTCCAGGCCCACGGCGAGCCGCCGCAGCCGCAGGAGCTCGCCCTCCGCCTCGGCCAGCGCGCGCCGCAGCTCGAGCCTCTCGCGGTCGCGCGCGGCCCAGACGGGGCAGGCCTCCCAGTACGCCGCGACGAGGCCGCGCAGCGCGGCGTTGCCCAGCAGCGCCCTCGACATGAGGGGCTGCTGCCTGGAAGAGAGGAAACACGCCATAATCATAAACTCTTGGCGCTCCGCGCAGACCTCTTGGATCCGCGCTGGGCCCCCCCCCCCGGCGGCGCCTCCGGCGCCGCCTCTGGCGCGCTCCGCGCGCCAGGGAAGGAGCTCCAGCGCAGATCCGAGAACTCCGCGCGGAGCGCCAAGCGTTTATGCTTGTGGCGTTTTTTCTTCTTCCAGCTGCGTCGCGGGGGCCAGCAGGGGCGCCACTGGCTCCTCCGCGCCCGCGGCCCCGACGTGGCGGTCGTACAGGCGGAACCACTGGGCGATGCACTTCCGGCAGTACGACTGCCCGTCCACGGTCACCACCGGGTCCTCGCTAGCGGCGCGCACGGCGGGGTAGGGGGAGGGGGGAAAGCTTCTTAGAAGCAAGCTGCTCCTTCGAAGGCGCCAGCCCTGCACCTGCAGAGAACAGGCCCGCGCCTTCCGCGAAGCAGGGGTGCTTCTCAGGAGCCTCCCCCCCTCCCTCTGTACCCCCCCCCCGCTGCGCGCGGCCGACCTCGAACACCCCGCGGCAGACTGGACACGCGAGGCCGCCGAGGGCGAACAGGGGCTCCTCCTCCTCCTCCTCCTCCTCGGGCCCCGGCCGCCCGCTGGGCGCCCACCGCGCCAGCTCGCTCATCGGGGCCGCCGCCGCCGGGCGCGCGGGGCGCGGGCGGGGGCATCGCCCGCCGCGGCGCAGCCCCTGCGGGGGGGGGGGGGGGGGGGGGCGCGGGGCAGCCCTGAGCCGGGACGGCCGAGGGCCAGAGGCTCTGCGCCGCCGCTCGGGGGGCGCAGCACGGCACACCTGCGCCCGGCCTGCGCGGGCCCGCCCTCGGCCCAGGGTGGGTGCACACGACGACGCTGGGACGAGGATACCATCGACCATCGAGGGAGGATATATATATATATATATATATATATATATCAATTATCTCTGCGATCTGGCGGCTCTGGAGGATGCCTCGGGCGCCGCGGCCTTCCCAGCGCGCTCTGGAACGCTCTGAGAGCGTTCCGAAAGCGCCCTGGAGCGGACTTCTCCTCGCCCTAGCCGCGCCCGAATATACACGCCTTCCTGGCGCGGCGAGGAAGGCACGCATGCTGATCCCAGGCCCAAGCCTGGCCTGGCCAGCGTCGGTGTACGAGTGTGCGGTCGAGGGCTCTTGCATAGCGTGTCGCGGCAGCGGCCCTGGCGACACGCTGTGCCCTGCGAGCGGATAGCGTGTCGCTCCACTCCGCGGGGCGGGGGGCTCGGACAGGCTCGGGACGTGTGGACCTCGGGGGCCTGGAGGTGGATAGAGTTTCGCGCCGACGCGTGGTGGGCCAGAACCGGCGGAGCGACACGCTACCCCGAAGCTCCCGACCGCAGCACACTGGCCCCAGTTCCCGAGGCCACCTGTGCGCACTCCTCCTGGCGAAGACTCTCGACGCCTGCGGCCTCCTCCCGCTCTCCTCCTCCGCGGCCGCCCTCCTCTTCCCCTCGTCGTCGTTGTGCGTGCCCGCAGCCCCCGGCGCGGCCCGCCAGCTGCCCGAACGCGTGGTGCGCTCGCCCTCGCCGCCGCCCCGAAGCGCCTGGCCGCAGTGGGCGCCCTCCGAGCCGAGCCGAGCCCCCGGCGCGGCCCGCGCCCGGAGGCGCCGGCCCGCCGCGGAGGCGCGGAGCGCCCTCGGGCGGCCGAGGGGGGGGGGCCGCGAGAGGGGCGGGGTGGCTGTACGCGCAGGGGTGGCGCTGGGCGGGAGTGGCCTGTGGTGCGCGGCGTCAGGGTGGCCGTGGAGGCCGCGAGAGGCGCGGGTCGGCTCCGCGCATGGGCGGCCTTGGGCAAGGGTGGCCCGTGGTGCGCGGCCTCAGGGTGACCGCGGATGCCCTACATCCGGGCTCGCGGGCCAGTGCTGGGGCCACCCCTGTGGGCCTTGGGCGCGACTTGATGGGGGGCGATCAAAGGGGGGGGGGGGGGAGAAAAAGGTGTCCCCCTCGGGCCGCGAAGGCTCCCACTGGGGCCCTCTAGGGCTTCTCTATAGGGGCCCTGAAGGGTCCCTTTTCTGCAGCCCTCGCTGCCGCCCGCCCCCCCCCCAATTATCCCCCCCCATGATCGGGGATGGACAGACCTCCCTTTAGTAAAACGTGGTCCAGTGAAAAACGACCTCGGGGCCAAACCTGGCGGGCGCAAGCCTGGAAAAGAACGGCCGCGGCGCCCTCTCGAGAACCGAAAACGGACAACTCACTAATCGACGTGCCAGGGCAGGAGGTCTGTCACCCCCCCCATGAGACCGCGCGAAGGCCTGCACCTGCAGCCATCCGGCGCAGGGGCCGCTCCTGCGTGTGGCCGAGCGGGGCGCCGGACGGCCCCCTCCGTGCCCCCCCCGCGGGCGGCCTCGAGAGAGAGAGGGCCGCGGAGGCACTGCCTCTGGAGGCCCTCCTCGGGCTCCAGAGCCGTCAAGCCGCGATCCGCAATGGAGACTTCTCCGGGATGGACCCTGGAAGGGGAGGAGGAGGAGGAGGAGGATGAGGAGGAGGAGGAGGAGGAGGAGGAGGAGGAGGAGGAGGAGGAGGAGGAGGAGGAGGAGGAGGAGGAGGGCCGCGAGGGAGCCGCGCGGGCGCACTGCCTCCGCCGATGCCTCGCCGCGGGGAGGGCGCCAGCTCCTTCGGTCGGAGCCCACAGGCCACGAAGGCCAGTGCTGCGGGGTGCCCTCCGGGGCTGCACGCCTCTCGGGGCCAGGGAGCCCGGGCGCAGCTGCGCGGGGATCACCGCGCGTCTTCCCCACGGGGAGCTCCACCGAAGGCCCCAGCGGCCTCCTCCTCCTCCTCCTCCTCCTCCTCCTCCGCCTCCTCAGGGTCCACAGGCGTCCGCCCGCCCCACTTCGGCACAGGCTTCACACGCTCCGTGGCCCCACAGGGAGCTCCACAGAAGGCCACAGTGGGAGGGCCCACATGTTTTTTTTTTTTGTTGTTGTCCGTTGTTGTTCTATGGGGAGCGTCACCGAAGACGACTCTCACAAGTGTGCCACTCACAACTGCACATGGCTGGGTCCCTCGCCAGAAAACAGCACGACCTCTGCGCTGCATGACTGAACCACGCCGTGTGATCCTGTGAGCAGCGTGACTCCCTTCTCCTTGGAGTGAAGCCCTCGGCAAATTCTGTTCCAATAATCTGGATTGTACGTGTCCTTGCGCGATTTATCATCGATGCAAGGACCTTTGCCAAACGGGTTCCAAACGCGTAAGCGACCACCAGCGAATCGATAGAACAGTCAGAGCCAACACACTCGCGGTTGAGAACCCTCAGGGTCTGCACATTAACCCTCAAGGACAGGTGGCAACGACCTGGGGGAGGGCTCCGTCGCAATGGCTCTCGCTCCTGGACGTACGCAGGCATGCCCGACATTGCTGGAGAGAGGGGACGGGGGGGCGGGAACGAGGGGATAGGGGGCGGATGGCTCGTTCCCCCCTCGCCCTCCCAAGCATGCGATGCCTTGCTTGCTTCACTGCGCGGACCTCTGGATGTCTTCGGCCCGCTCCCCCAGGCCAGGTCTTCATCCCGAGCCGTCTCTTGGCGGCCTGAGGGCCCATCGAGGGCGAAGACTGCTAGAAGCCGCCAGTCGCGATTTTCCTCACGACGCGGGCGTGTCTGGGCCCCGGTCGCCCCTTGCCCGCGGCGGCGCGGCGGCCGGCTCACTGCATGAGCCAGACCCACCCCGCCGAGATCACCCCCGCGATCACCAGCATCACCGCGGCGGCCGTAGCCTTCGCGTGTTTAGC